TTTTCTTCCATCCAGGTATGAAAAAGAAAAAAAATTAAAACCAAAGGTGGACTTTGGATAGAAAAAAAATTTTTTTCTATGCAAAGGTAGCCACTGGATAGGAAAAAAAAAAAGCTTTCTGGCAAGAGCCCTGAAAGCAGAGAGTATTCAGTCAAACCAACACCCAGTCCTGCATCAAGTATAGAGCTGCCTCCTCCATAACGGCAATGCTAACAGGCTACTGCTGCTGCTGCTGCTGAGTCGCGTCAGTCGTGTTCGACTCTGTGACCCCACAGACGGCAGCCCACCAAGGCTCCTCAGTCCCTGGGATTCTCCAGGCAAGAACACTGGAGTGGGTGGCCATTTCCTTCTCCGGTAATAGGTAGCAGTCAGCACTTAAAAACACTTTCTGTATGCTTTATGTGGACTACCTCATTTAATCCTCAAAACAACCCAGCACTTTATCACCTCTTTACACATAATAAGTGGCAGAGCTCAAGCTGAATGCCTTACATGCTAGACTATTCTATGCATTCCCTACCCTGCTAAACCTACTGCCCAGCAAGAAGCAGGAGAAAGGCAAGCGTTTATGCTACATTTGCCTTCAGGTCTTTAATACAGAGCAGCAAAAAGTAACAACAGACATAGGAAAAACTTAATATGAACGTCCACTCAGGACAGGATACGGAATTTGAAGCTTATAATGTGAGCAGCTTAGGAGGGACAGGAAGAACTGGATTAAAAGACGGAAAAGAAAAAAAAAAGAAAAAGACAAAATGAAAACAAGAAAGAGCAGGCTGTGAAAGCAACCGAAAAATTCACTTGATGTGGGAGGCAGGCGGGTCGTAAATAAATGCAAAAGCAAAAGCAAACCTAAGTCTGTACAAGACAGATATGCACACAGAGCAATGAAGATGACAGCAGACAGACAGACAGACAGCTAGTTAGCTCAAAGATGAGAGTCATCAAAGGGAAGGAAAAGGAAAATATTTGGGTTCCCTGTTGAAAAGGCAAGCAGCATCCACTACCACCTTTGAAGAACTCACAGGACATATACATGCGTTTCTATTACATAAACTTATAAATGTGGATTGCATTCCATAAATAAAAGGGCTGGCTCTTACATCTTCATTGAAAGACTTTTTAATAAATATACAAAATCACATGCCAAAGTAACTCCATCATCTCTGCATACTAAAGTTGGTCTGATAAAAAGGAAACATGGGTATTTGGATAATCATGGGTTATCCAAACATGGGTGCTGTATAATCAATTTATAACACCTCTTACATACATGTATCATTGCAGCAGTTAAGTAGAAAAGAGGATGGAGTAAGTGGTCATACACATACACCCATCAGAAGTAACAAGCAGAGGAAAAGATGCAAAGTACTAACAGCTGTATCAATGTGACACAATTATACTATTCACTATTGTTTTTAATTGAAGCTATATTAAATATGTACCCACATACATAAATACACATAAGACAACATACTCATAAATGTTTATGTACACATATACTCATATACCCCTTTGCATATAAGATGCTAAAAATACTTAAACTATAAAAATAACTTATACTTAGCCACAGAAAAACAAAACCAAAACATAATCTTTCTCTTTATTAATACTTCTCCCCTCACACTTTGTGTGAAATATCTATTTTGGCCATTCTACGCTCCATGTTTGAAATTAAAGCCCCAGGAGGCTAGAAGAGCTGTAACCTTCTATTTGCTCTCTCTTAATGAATTCTAAGAACTTAAAGAGGAGCTTCAAAATGAAAAGTGAAGGAGTAGCAGCCAAAAATATGAAGTGGCCCCTATTAAACTAAACCTCTAGCCATTCCTTAAATTAACATTTGATATTCTAAAAGAAGTCCATGATTTAAACACTTCAGTATCTTTCAGTTCAAGCATTATTATTCAAACTAAATCCTAAAAAGGGTATTATTCTGAGTACAACAATGCAGAGCAAATGAACAGAGAACACAGGCTTCGAGAACCACTGACATACTACTTCACTCATCATCAAGCTTTCAGAGACATGAAAAATTTATTTTTGCTTCATCTCATGACAATGTGAAGCAAAATGTTTGCAAACAGGAAGTCTATTCCTTCTGATCCATAGCCTATAGGACTTTTTAACGATTCCTCCTATAGCAACAATATAATCTAACACTCTCAGAAGGGCCGTGACTTTTCTGACACAGATTTAGGTCCTCTAGTGAAGACAAGTTGCAAGAAATCGGGTAGGAGAAAAGGAGAAAGGTGCCATTTACACATTTATCTGCCCGGCTCACACCTTCGGTGGAGCATCAGCAGCCAGTTAAACATTCGGTACTGCGATAATTCTGTCTCCATCCTTTTGACAATTTGCTTCACGCCTCATTTGCTATGAAGAGTTAAAACATTTCAGTCAACCTTGAGAAAGCAATTCGATTTTTTTTCTGCAGCAAAACGCACAACCTATTTCAACCACCCGGCCACTGGTTAAAGTTCAAAACTGTGACACAGACAGAAATCAAGTACTTCCCTTCAAATGCTGCAGAAGACAAAAAAAATACTAACCAGTGTTACATTTATTTGCAGAGGATATAGAACAAAATCAAATCAAAGTGCCCCTCGCAGAGAGAATGGAGACCTGGATATGCATGGCTGAGTCCCTAATGCTGTCTTCCTGAAACTATCACACTGTTAATCGGCTATACTCCAAAATAAAATTAAAAGTTTTTTTAAAAAGCCCCCCACGTGCTCGGGTCCAAACAGCAGCAACACCTTTCCTGTTAAACTCAGTGGACAACAAAGAAGCCCTCCCCGTCCTCTCTTCCTCAGGCAACCTGGCAGAAGCCTGAGCAGAACACTCCAAAACAGACAAAGAAATTCTTTCGTATAATACTGTTCCACTGGATTTTTTTCATTATTTTTTTAACTGTGGATCATCACAACACATCTGTGCTGATAACGAAGACAGTTTCGAAAATGGTTATTCAGGATCCTATTTATAGCCATCTAAAAATTCAAGAGGCGCGTGTTTTTATTTACTAAGAGCAGTGCACACGATCATGTGTTTAAATTGTTTGAAAAACTACAAGAGACAACCAGAGTTTCTGGAGCAGCACTGTCCAATAAAACTTTCTGCAACAATGGCGAAGTTCTGGTCTATGCTGTATTTGTGCTTTTAAGCATTTAAACTGTCACTAGTACAACTGCATAACTGAATTTTTAATTTTATTTAATTTTAATTTGAATAGCCACATATGGCTGCTGGCTACCAAACTGGACAGAACAGTTCTAGAGAGTATTTTTAATGATAAAAAGGCTGTCTGCTGGAAGTCATGCTATGTACCGTGATGCTGAGTTTTCTCTTTTGGAAAGGGGAATGGTATAGAAAACTCAACCAAGTATAAAGATCCATCTAGTCAAAGCCATGATTTTTCCAGTAGTCATGTATGGATGTGAGAGTTAGACCATAAAGAAGGTTAAGCACCAAAAGAATTGATGCTTTTGAACTGTGGTGCTAAGAAGACTCTAGAGAGTCCCTTGGACTGCAAGGAGATCCAACCAGTCCATCCTGAAGGAGATCAGTCCTGGGTGTTCATTGGAAGGACTGATGCTAAAGCTGAAACTCCAATACTCTGGTCACCTGATGCGAAGAGCTGATTAGAAAAAACCTTGATACTGGGAAAGATTGAATGCAGGAGGAGAAAGGGACGACAGAGGATGAGATGGTTGGATGGCATCACCAACTCGATGGACATAAATTTGAGTAAGCTCTGGGAGTTGGTGATGGACAGGGAAGCCTGGTGTGCTGCAGCCCATGGAGTCGCAAAGAGTCAGATGTGACTAAGCGACTGAACAATAACAAAGATCCCCTTCACATTCTCATCAAAAAAGAAATGCACTTTAGTTCAAATCTGCTTCCTAACGAGGAGACACGTGCGCCACAGGGAAAGCGGGGAGTCCCAGTCGAGGACACCAAGAAGATCACGAGACCTCCCGTTTCACCAACTCACTGTGTGACTTCTTGGAAGATTCTGTTTTCTCTCTCTCTCTCTAACCAAATGATACCCAATCTGTGGAAAGGAGCTATCTTTCTTCATCAACTTTTCAACATCCTCATAGAGTATCAAATGATGTGATTGCAACAAGCAAGAAAAAAAATATGCAACCATAATGACAGCTTCCACAACATGAATTCAGGCCACTCACCCAAATCTACTCATGCTAGTAACTGCTGAGTGTAAATACAGACAGCACAGGATCTGAGAAGGCAGAGGAGACAGATGGCTGGGTTCATGCTGTGACTGTGCCATTTCTAGTTATGTGCCATTTCTAGACTGTGCCTTTTGCTTACTCATCTGTAAAATGGGTACAACATAATAGTACTGAATTCACAGATGATTCACATATGGTTCTTAGCACAGTGCCTGACTCTCATAATTGTTCAACAAAGTATGTATTACTAATTATTCAATATCTAATATTTCAGTAAAACAGAAAAGCAAATGAGATTCCCTTTGAGGTTTTTACCTCAGGAGGGACTCTGATCTATAGTCTGTAATAGTCAAGAGGGGATGGGTATGTGAGTTATATTTCAAAGAATGGTGTCACTATAAGTATACGGCAGAGGACACATACCTGTCTTTCATTAACAATTTCGATGTCAGAGATAAACATACACACAGAGCAAACTGTTCCAGAATTTTCAGTAGCCAGTCCTGAACACCAGCTCTCAAATGCCAAGATTTCAGAGGGAATAATGAGAAAACGTTTAACAACTGACACTCCTACTGACCGCTGCCTTTGCCTAAGATTATCGCTGAAGCCAGAGGTAGCTTCCCCGATGAAACCATCTGCGTTTTAAGTCTCTCCATTCATTAAAGACACCTCCATCAGACCAGCTGACTTACTACCTCGTGTTCACAAGCCAGCTCACCAAGGGTCTCGGGGGCTCTCAAGGATTAAGATCTCACCCAACAACGTGCGGCTCTCAGTAGGCAAACACCGAGTCCCGCCAACGGGGCCGCAGCAGGCGCCGGGGCCGCAGGAAGCGGGCGAGCCCTCCTGCGCACGCGGAGCCGGGCCCAGCATCCCGGCAGGAGAAGAGCCGGGGGCACGGGGGAGGGGCACCCAGCGCCGGCCTGGGCACAGCAACGTGGCTTCTCTACCCTGCTTCCAAGTCAGGTTTTGGGGGGGTTGTTGTTTTTTTTTTTAACTAACAAAATAACCCTACTGCTCCTCCAACCATCCCAAAGCCTCCTTCCCCTTTCCTATTTTCTCCTCGGCCTCCCACCTGCTCTCCCACAGGTCACCAACGAAAAAATGACCCGGATGCCAGGTCCCTTTCTCCCCCACCGTCCCGCGATGCTCACCACAGCTGTGCCCGCCTCTCTCCGGGAAGCCTCTGCCCTCCGTGGCCTCTGTGGAGCCTGCTCCACCGCTTCCATCTCCCTGCACAGCTCTGGGGTTGCCTCCTTCTCACGCCTCAATGCTAGTGCTCCCCCAAAGTCCCTCAGCCACCCTCCCCTCACACCCATGCTCCTGACAGCACTCACGAACCCCACTCTCGGCCGACACCCCTCACTGAGAACCCGCGTTTATATTCCGGGCCCTATCATCCTCCTCTACTCCAGATCCCTGTTTTCTCTCTGCCTACGACCATCTCCATTTAGCTGTTTGGAACACATCTCAAACCCAACATGTCCAAAACCACAGCCTGTTACTAAATATACAGGATGATTCAAAAGCAACTGAACACCTTCAAAAAGTTACCAGGCCATGTGATTTCTCCCTGCGGAGTCAGATCCAGAACACTGGGTTTGCACCGCCTCTTCCTCCCAGCTTGGAGGAAATGAAGACAGCGCTAGGCCTGCCCTGGGGCCACTTCATCCACTGATGGTGCAAACGCCGTGTGACCACTGTCCTGGGACAAAAGGGTGTGTCCCGAGCATCTCTAAGAGACTACAGAGGTAGCCGCGACGCGCCTTTACAAACAGACGCACAGCTGTCCTTGCGCAGCCTTATTACCACACAAACGCTCGTCTTCTGCCCTCTCCGGGCTGCTCTTCATCCTGCTCTAACCAGCTGCCGCCTGCTGCAGATGAGTGGTTCTGCTGTCTCTGGGATTACATCTCACTGGAAGACATACCCTATGGAAGCAGGGCTTGGGTTTTATTCACCGCTTATCCCTAGCACCTAACACATCTGTCACACAGCAGGTACAGGTGCGCAATGGGTATCAGCATCTAGAGAGAAGACCCTGATGCTGGGAAAGACCAAGGGCAGGAAGAAAAGGGGACGACAGAAGACGAGATGGTTGGATGGCTTCACCGACTCAATGGACATGAGTTTGAGCAAGCTCCGGGAGCTGGTGATGGACAGGAAGGCCTGGTGTGCTGCAGTCCATGGCATCACAAAGAGTCGGCCACAACTGAGCTACAACGACAGTCTGTTGATGAGTCTGTTGATGAGTCGAGCGAGCACCTAAAGCAGCCCAGTAGCTGCCCCTCGTACCAAGGATTCCTCCGCCTGCTCCAGCCCTGGATGCCCACTCTTTCCGCGGGGTCTCCGGGGTTTGGAGAGTATCCCTCGAAATGTCCCCACCTCACAGACTCACTGCCTCTCCTACAGATTAGGGTCCGAGGCTCTCAGGGACACCAAGGCCTGTGAGGCTTGACCCGCTTCTCCCTGAGTCCCTCGAAGGTCCCAGGGACCCGCCAGCACTGCCGGTCTCCTCCCTGTGTCCCGGCAGGATGCGTGACAGTTCACCTGTCGGCCTCCATGGGTGCTCACTTCACGCGGCTTCCCACGCTGCATGACGCGGTTATCCGCTTTGTCCTTCGACCGTGGCCAAAGGAAAGTGACCTCGGGGAACCCGGTAACTACTGCCGTGCCTGAAAACAAGGTGGTAATGGCCTTATTCTTCTCTGACAGAGTCAAGTTCCTGAGCATTCTGACAGTTATTTTCTTAGGGCCTTTCTCAGCTGTTATAGAATGTTAAGACTGCATGTTGAAAACCCCAGAACTAGACGAATGATACATTCCTACAGAAATTCTCTGAAAGGATGAGCACAGACAGACAGGTATCTGCTTTCTGGGCAAAAGATACCTCACGGCGTAATTAGCAAGATGAAAATGTAGATGAGCCCACCCCTTGAGAAGCATGAAGAACTGAACAAAATTACAGGTCCAGTCTTAGAGAAAAGGACATGCCTGTGACATATGGCAACAAGGCTAAAAAAGAGCCTACAGGTTTTGTTTTGGTCTTTTCTTTCTGTTTTAGTTTTTTCTTTCTGTGGGTTCCTACAAATAGGATGTTAATTCATTTGCTTGAGATGGATTAGGTACAGTCAGCCAGCATTAACTCCCAAAACTGTAAATCCATGATTATTGTAGTAGTGATATATTACTATAAATGATAAAACAAAGTAAAATATCATTAGAAAATAGGAAACAAGAGACAGGAAACACTTCATTTAATTCTAAGCTAAAAACAGCATTATGGAGGTACGCCATTTGGAAATACTCTCAGACTGAGGTTTAGGTGAGGTGAGGAAAACACAGCTGAAAACCCAGGAAACAGACATGCACAGCTGGGACTGTGATCTTTCCTAATTCTCAAACACAACGCAGCCACTGGTTAAGTGAAATTCAACTTACATCAGTTGTCTAAAAGAAGGTCTGAGCCAAACTGACTTTTTCCCAAAGCTGTGAGATTTGGCTTTATTGATCAATTTGAAAAGAGAGGAACACGTGGAGACATGAAAGGGGATTCCCCAGCACTGTACCTTACCGTCAGACGGAGCGAGCAAGAGAAAGACTGAAGAGGTCTCGGGACCCATCGCAACATCCTTCGGCCTCGCCAGCCTAAAAGTTCCTCAAGTGAGTATGTAACAAACCGAAATGAGGAACCTGACTGGGTCCAGTGATGGGAGTGCTCTTTACAGCTTCCCAGCATCACTGACTCCAACTCCAGAATGGCTACGTGGCAAGAGCAAGAACAGAAATAATCATGACTCTGTGTCATGATACAACCTCACCAAAGAATTAGAGGATTTTTCTGCCTTACATATGTTAACTATACATCAACACCCTGATGAATTTAAGATATGCTCATTTGGGAGTTTGTCTTATAACTGTCCCCACCACAGGAGTCCCCTCTGGGCACACAGTGCCATTCACTTTTAACGATTTTTTCACTCTGGACTTCTCTGCTCCAGCTGCCTCTCCTGTCCCTTTTCTCCAGTCTCCTGGTTTCTGTTTGTCACCTGTCCTCTCCTTGACATTCTTGGACTTACAGATTTCTGGACTCCTAACACCAAGGGACCCTGAGATGCTGTCCGGTATGTTCATCTATTCTCTTATCCAAAACTATTTATTAAGCACATATTAGTAGACACTGTTCTATACTCAGGTCCATCGCCTCCCCGCCCCATCCTTCAGTTACAGTCATGTGCAAACAACTGCCGACAGAAGAGAATCTGTGCTCCGCTTTAAATGTCAACAGACCGTTTCACAGCCTCCCTCAATAACTCAACTTAAAGCAGTGACCCAGATCATGGGACAGAGCTTCCCCCAACAGGCGGATGTAAATTAATGTTCAGTGACACCATCAGAAAAATCCAATAGCCATCACATGCCCTTGGACCGGACTCCTTCCTCTCCATTGTCTGGTATGACTCTCGGGTCAAAAATCACTAAAATTCTCACTCAAAAATCACTCAATTCTAAAAAGAAAATTCTATACATCTTGATGATGATGCCGTCTGTTTATTTAAACTCTACCTCTAGCTTGTTGATGACCTGTGGGTGGCAGAAACATGGGTGTACAGGCCATTCCACAGACTAAGAGCCTGTGAATCCAGGGAGAGGGGCCTGGAGACCTTGTCCACCTCCCTGGGCAAAATCTGACCGAAAACCAGGTTTCAGAACCTCTCCTTCACTTGAGAGAATGTAGGCTCTAGCACCAGACAAAACTTGGGTATTGAAGAAACTTCTTAACTCTACCAGTTTACTTGTCTATGAAACAGGAAGACTGGGAGGACTGCAATTACTCTATGCAACGTGCCTGGCACACAGAGGAGGTGTTCAAACACAGCAGTGATCTTATTAGCTCACTATTACTTAACTCTTTTAAAAATCTTTCTCTGAATCTGCATGTCTCCATTTGGGAGGCCGAGAGTGGAAAGCAGAGTGTTTGTAAGAGCTTTGCCAATCATGCCTGACCGGAATGAGCGATAGTCTTACAGAGGCCACTCTTTTAAAAAAGAAAAAAAAAGGAGAAATCACTCAAGATTTGGCTGCTGACTCACTACCACCTTGCCAGTTTTCTTGCTTCGTGGGAGCCCAGCGGCCACTCCCAGGAAGGCCACTCATGCTGGTCCACGCTGACCTCAGTCACGGAACTGCCCTGCTCCTCCTCACCTCCACCCTTCCATCAATCTGATTCTGTGGGCGCACATGCTGCTCCATCTTCCCAACTGCACGTCAAGGTGCAGGTCAGACACGGGTCCTGCCATCGTCCACGGACCATCCCTCCTGATGTCTGCCATGTTAACAAAAATCCATGAAAGGCCCCCTATCCTGCATGATCATGACCAGGCACTTTTCCCAATTTTTTTGTTTCGTCCTCATTTGGAAAAGAAGCAAGACTTCCTCAAGTTACAGGATGTTTTCCTTCCCTCTTAGTCTACTGTATCCATTAAGCACATTCCCCACACAGATGTCCTCTTCTGCACCCCATGGAGAGAGCTGGGCATCAACAACGCCTCCCACGGAGCCCATAACGGAGGCTCTGACCCATAGCACTTCACAGGCTGGGCTCTGAAAGTCACACAAAAGCACTCATACATTTCAGACTGCCCTCATCGTCCCCTCCTTCTCCTAAGAAACTTGCTGGAGTATCACTTCAGATGCAGGATCCTTCTAAGAGCTTTCCTTCTCAATACCCTATCACATCAACCCAATCGAGTGTCGTGACTATTATTTAAACTGAATCTGACTTTAACGTCAAGTATGCTTACTAACAGAGCAAAGGTAAACATTCTTTAAATCTAGGTTTGTCTAATAAAAATCCCCAAATTCACGGTTCGTTACTTTCATTCATCATAAAACCAAGGAAGGACTCTCCCATGAGTAAAGCTACATCTATGACTATTGATTCATTTCAAACTTCTGTAATGCAAAGAAACATGCTGACGCCTCCAGACACAGACGATACATTCCAGTGACTTCTACTTTTCAAAGACTCAGCTAAATTAAATATATTTAAGCCCACGCTTGCCTACAAAATTAAAATTATTTAATTCTCGACTAGTATTAAGGAATACACAAAAATTCAAAGAAAAGGTTTCAAAAATTTAGGTTGGAAGAGAAAGAGTCAAGTCAAAACTAATTAGAAATGCCCATATGACCATTTCCTTTTTTAAAAGGATGTTGTTCCAAAACTCCCACGTTTATTTCCCTCTGAGTACCTACTGCTTTTCGGATCCTTCACTGATCCTTCACATCAGCACATTATCCACACCACAGACAGTTTCATCCTTGACAAGGAGGTAAGCCTGCCTGCCTCCCTGTGTTATCTGTCCACGTTCCATTTGAATCCAATTTCCTTGCATTACCTCTGCCCAGGTCAGGGATGAATGGCTGTCAAATTCCCAGTGGAATAAAAAGAAAAACCCTTTCTTCCTGAGGCAGCAAGTTTCAATTCACAGAGCACATGGCTAATCTACATATGTGAAGGTCATGGCACTTCAGTCAAAGAGGTTAAGAATGGAACAGCTCACGTAAGGGGTTGTCTTAAACATCTTGGCATGATGCCCAACAAGTAAGAATGTTGAAAAGCAATAGATAGCTTCTGGCAGCAGCAAGGGGAAAAATATTTTGATCATGTGACACGGTACACACTACCTAGTTTACTGCATGTGTGAAACTTTGAAGTCCCTAAAAAATACCACACATGCAAATCAAATCCAGATTTCAGCTTTACAGGGTGAGCCAGGCTAGTACATCTCCCTCTTCACAAGATGCATTTATGTGAAATTTCTAGACACACGGACAGTAAAACTCACCACACTGGACGACCAGTTGGCTCAAATAGCTGATTACAACTTTTTTTTGCATTAGTTTTTCAAAGAACCATAAAACATCAAGAAAAGGTATTTATACCGAGAAAGCACATTCCTTCAAGTTATCTGAATATAACTGTCTTAAATAAAATCCATCTTCTCCCTCCATTCTTCTCTCTCTCTTCACTAATAATAGAGCAGCATGGAAAATTACAGGATCTTCATACCCAGTAAAAGACAAAACACAAAATTGCTTTTCATGTTCTATTTTCACTAATGAATCACTGAATACATGTGAAACACTTTTAAAATGCTCACACGTCTGACAAATATCTCAGGGGAGGAAGAAGGACAACGTCCTGCCACACACAATGGGTACCAGGTGAGGAACCAAGGGGAACAGCCAAGCGGTCCACGAAGCACACCTCTGCCCACCAGCAGGCAGGCTGGTTGGCACAGCCTCCCAGAGCTGTGTCTAGCCAGCCTCAGGAAGTGGAAGGGAGTTGGCACCAACAGTAGGGGAAGGGAAGGGTTTCACACCCCACAACCTCGTAACAAACATGATGACAATTTTTTTAACTTTTCAACAGTTACACTAGTTTAAAACCCAGAGAAAATTAATCGGAAGCAAAAGATCCATTTCACCAACTTGCAAATTGTCTGCCTACCACCAAATTACCTTCAACTTGAAATTTAGACTGCTTATGAGGCCAGTCTATAAACAGTATAATTCAATCCATATTTCTAGTCAAATGGAATAGTAAGTAAAATAAAAATATCCCACAAGCTATCTTTATTTACTTTACTTGCCGATGTTCATTTAGCAATCTAAGAATACTCCTCTATGCTAAACAATGAACACCATGATGTGTAACTATTTTCCCATATTCTCTGGATATCTTTTTAACTAATATAGTGTCCCTACACCAACGTCATTAAATGATTGTTGATGGTGGTGAAATTAAATATTCTAATTACTGATCTCCCGAATTTATTTTTCCTTACCAGGAAATATATGACTGTAAAATACAGGGGAAAACTACAGGAGACATTTAAAAAATGTGATCAACTGCTTCATAACCTTTCCTAAACTCCTGGCAAGGTAATGACATACTGCGCAATAAAAAACGGACACTGACTAGGTTAGAAATAAGCTTCAAATATTAACCTACTTGTTCTGAGAGGAAAGACTAATAGGCTGTTAAACTGACTACTACAGAATCACACCTAGCTCATTTCAGTTCCTTATGCATCCCTACCCTTGCCAGGCAGTACACCAGTATATAGTCACATCAACTTCTCCCAAGAATTCCATGACTAAGAATTCTTTCCCATCTCTTTGAAACGAAGAAGCTACAAACCTTAGAGAGGTGAAATGACTTGCTCAGGGTCACACAGAATAGTAAATGCCCAGCCTTCAGGTTCTCCAACCTGCACTCCTTTGGTTCTGACCCTTGCTTTCATCCCCACACCTCTTCACGTGGTCAACTTCTGATCCTCAACCAGATCTGAGCTTATGAGACCTGCTGTACGGCAGAGCCTTCCTGCTCCGACCCAACGCCAAGCTGGTCTGCGAGGTACCCCTCTAACATCCCGACTCGCCCTGCCTAAACCGTGTACACTGTATTGTGCAGCATGCCTACCTGTCTTTGGTCTCCGTTAAAGACCAGGACTAGTTAAAGCCCAACACTTCTCCTCAAAGGATCCAACACACAGCCAAGTACCCAGGAGGCCCTGCAAAAACAGCAGCCTGGCGCTCCAACTCTCACTGCTGCTGCTGCTGCATCGCTTCAGTTGTGTCCGACTCTGTGTGACCCCACAGACAGCAGCCCACCAGGTTCCCCCATCCATGGGATTTTCCAGGCAAGAGTACTGGAGTGGGCTGCCATTGCCTTTTCTGCCAGCTCTCACTACACTGACATAAATCGATAGTCCCAAAGCCCCGACATTTTGAAGGCTGTTTGCGGAAGGTCAATGAACTGAATTTTAAATCCTTCACGGTATTGATATTATAGTCGTTTCTTTAGCAGAAAAAAAATCACTCTACGATACCCAAAATAACATCCAAACTAAGATCACTTTCTCATAAGTGTCGCAACACCTAAGAACCACCTCCAAGTGTACTGACCTTCTAGATCAAATAGCGAAATGTATAATAACACACTCAACAGGAAATTTTCCGTTTGGATACATTATCATCTACTCTTCAAATAGATGATGCACTCTGACAGATATAGTCTTTCTGCAGAGAACTGCAGAAGAATAACGTAGCCATTCATTTTAATTTCCACTTTGTAAGACACCAGGGGTTTCTGATAATTCACCAGGGAAAATTACGGATCATATGTTATATTTATTCTTTGTATCTTAAGCATCAAGTGGTGCTTGTTAAGTATTTGTTCATAATAGAATTAAATTTTGTCCCTGGTACTTTTAAAAATCTCAGCATAAAAAAGAAAGATTGCTCTTCTCTGCATATTTGAGGCAGTCCCTTGGCATTCTCAGATTTTACATTCCCGGTTTTGACTCTTCGAGGGCATTCCTAAACTTCCATGATATGTAAATTATAATCTGGCTAAGGACCAAATCTGAACTGTACAAAAGTGAAGCTGAAGCAGATACAGAAGAAAGTTACTTAACTAATGAGAGACCAAAGCTTACCACTCAGAACATCAGAGAAGCTAATTTTAAATTTTTGAAACTTTGTTCCTTTGCAAAAAAGTACTTCTGCTTGAGAGACAGTCTTTTCTGCAGACCATGAAAGTGGAAAGGCCTAAGAGGCAGAAGAAAAAGAAGTGACTCTTAGCCAGAGGACAGAATTTCCTAATATATAGGATGAGTATCGAAGGGGTCAGTGGCTTGGCTCTAAAGGCATCATCGGTCTCCCATGGGCTCTACTGGTAAACCAAAACCAGTTTCATGGAACTGTTTACAAGAGTCCAATCAGCACATAACTACATTTTGTGAGGGAAATTACTCTGGAATTCACAAAATCTGTATATTTGCACTGGGCTCAGTTGATATTCTCTGAACACGTCTGGGATCTAGTGTAGTTTAATAAGATATTCAGTGGTGCATAACTGATTAGGCAGTATATTCGTTTTAAAACATTTCAAAGCGTCACAGGGTTTTACAACGGGAAGGGACCAGGGGTCATTATCTGATGGAGGCAGAGGCTTGTCCTCACCGCACCTGGAGTGCAGCAGGGCCAGGCAGAGAACAAGATCCCGGGCCCCCTTTTCTTCAGCCGCCAGTAGACAATGGTGCCACTTAAAGATGCTACCAGACTGATGGCGATGCTCTCGGGGGTGACCCCGCCCAGCAGGCCACAGTGCAAGAAGGAAAGCTGAGTCCTGTCAGATCTCCCAGAAAACGGGCACTGAAGGCTCCGGAAGAATCCAAGGTCTGAACAACTCCGAGCCCAGGACCCTTCCCTTACAACGGAACAGCTTGTGATACATATACATTCTCATAAACCCTCATCATCACAAGAAACAAACTAATATTCAAACATATCCGTTCCCTCAGAAATTGGCCCATAAGAAAGACACTTGCTCAGCAGTGGCCATGTTTTCCCTTTCTATTTCCAACGTCAGTTATAATTCACTGGGTGAAGTGAATTTATTATTCAAAAAAAAAATACAATCAGTATTTTAAAGGACAGTAAAATGGGTTCATAACTTGCATATATAAACATATGGTCCCTGAATATTAAAATCTGCTCTTAAAATTTCAGAAATTATATGCCAAATTCTAGACAAATTTCAGAATTACCAACAATTTCCAAAAATTAGACTCTGAAGTATTATGAGTGGTTTCACTTCTGAGATGCTCATCACAAAAAGAAACAGGAGATACTAAGAATTCTGGAACATCCTCCACTAACCATCAATGCTTTGCTTTCTGAAAGGTTTATTTCAGGACCCAGAAGCAGTAGCTGAATTTACTCCTCAGCCAGCATACATTATCTAAACAGTTACCAAAAATACTCTAGCAATCTAAGTATCTTCCTAAATCTGAGCAGACTGTTTTAATTTTTTTCCCCAAGAGCCCATATAATGTAGAAAACTGAGAAAAAGAAGAACCTCTCTATGTAAATTTCAAAGTGATTCTCTTCTCCTTCTTCTAGTTATTATTCTCTGTAGTGGATCGCTATTTTGCTCTGGCACCAAGCCAACAATTGATTGGTAGAAATGGAAGAGTCACTAGCCCACATCGACTCTATCACAACAATCTACAATTATTTGTTTTGCCAAAATCCACTCCCCGCCCAAAAAAGGCAGGCCAACAGACTGCTGACCCACCTGGCTGCTCTTTGCACAACTGTTCAAATGAGCTGGTTCTAAATCAACGAGATGCCAAAACTACCAAGGCCAGGTACAGCGGGAGCAGGCTCTGGCAGGATGTCTCTGGCCTGAACTGCACACAGGAGCAGGAGTGAGCCCCACGGCCTGGCTGTCCCCTGCGGCTGGCACATGGCTGATTAAGAAAGTGGGTGAAATACATATTTCCCAGTTGATAGTATAGAGTAGGTATTTATCTGACGTACACCTCACAGCACACACAAATGCTAAGTGTTTACACCTTGAGAAGTAATTGTTGCTGCCCGGTATGAGCTCTTAAACCACAGTTCATTTTCTCTGTGCCCTCTGTAGAATCTGGGGTTAAAGGACATCACTGATCATATAAAGATGTGACCACGTATCAGGACCAATAGTAACTGAAACACAATGCCAATGTTTTGCACACACAGAGCCTGTCCATCAGAGAGACTAACCAGCGCCCAAGAAATACTCCTTTGCAACTGCCTTGAACATTTCATCAAAAGGCAATCGTCTTAATTTAGGAATTTTTCCACCTACAAAGACTTCCTGCAGTTTTGCAGAGGATGATAAAACCATGAGGAGGGATGCACAAACCTGGGGCACAGAACACTGAAAACGGGCACAGCATCACGTGGTTTGGTTGCTTGCTCTGGGTTAGGGGTTGAGATGCCTTAAAACATTAAATACACTTTTTACAAAAATTATCGTTATAAGTGATCTCCACTAATAACAGAAAGATAAAACCAGTAGTTTTAAAAAGAGGCTAAAAATGCAAAAGATGAAGAGAAATAAGGGGGAAAGGATCATGCTAACAGTTTATTTCCATATCCTATTATCTAACAAAGTTCCAGATTTCTCCCATTAAAGTACCTCAAATCTTTAAACAGAAAGACTTCGAAAAGTTGCTTTTCAGCTTTTAACACCAAAACTGACAATGAAACAACTAACCTACACAATGCACATTTCCAAACTGAAAAACTGGGACGATTACCCTAAAGTTAGAATTAGAAGCAACGGACTAAAAACAAACCAAAAACACCATTACTGTTCCTTAGAGGGAGGATTTACTCATAAACTATGAAGTAGCAAGATTAACAGTTATAAAAATAAGCTTATTTTATTTACATGTTAATAGCTAACAATTTTAAATTTTGACAAGGAAGGGAAGAAAAATATTTATTCATTTTGATTTGGGAGGATGAAAATATCCTGGAAATAGATGGGGCGATGGTTGCACAGCAATGTGAATGTACTTAATGCCACTGAACTGTACCCTAAAGTGGTAAATTTTATGTAATGTATATTCTGCCACAACCAAAAAATACACACATATATAACTTTTTCTGCATCCCATATTTTTTTTAAAAAACTGGTCTAGAATTTTCTCCTGGATTTCATCAAATATAGCTTCCCTTCCAGAGTCACTTAATAAGGAATAACTTCTACTCTGATTCTCAAATTTCATCTTTTATCAAGGCCCAAGGAGACAGGGAAGCGCATCTTATGGAATGGAGGTAACAGAGGCCAAACCGACTTCATACTTCAGTTCAAAAGGACTGTCTTTCTGTGATAGATCTACTCCAGATTTTGCTGCCATCCTACCAAAAATAAGAGGATCTATGAATAGATGAGATATCCTTAAGATTTTAAGGCTTTAGTCTCTTTCCTAGCAATAAATATCAATCAAGAAACAGATCAATTTCATTAGTTCACCTATTGAACTCCACAGGCTTCTAGTATCCTTGCTGTTGTTCAGTCACCCAGTCATGTCCCACTCTTTGCAACTGCATGGACTGCAGCACGACAGGCCTCCCTGTCCCTCAACACCTCCCGAAGTTTGCCCAAGTTCATGTCCATTGCATCGGAGGTGCCATCCAGCCATCTCATCCTCTGACGCCCCCTTCTCCTTCTGCCCTCAATCTTTCCCAGCATCAGGGACTCTTTCAATGAACCAACTGTTTGCATCAGATGACCAAAACACTGGAATTTCAGCTTCAGCATCAGTCCTTTCAATAAGTATTCAGGGTTAATTTCCCTTAAGACTGACTAATTTGATCTCCTTGCTGTCCAAGGGACTCTCAGGAGTCTTCTCCAACACCACAGTTTGAAGGCATCAATTCTATGGCACTCTGCCTTCCTTACCGTCCAGCACTCACAACAGGACATGACCACTGGGAAGGCCACAGCCTTGACTATACGGACCTTTTTACCTTGGCATTGATCTATTCGGAGTAGGTTTAAAAAACTGGTTACTAGATCCTATTCAACTAAGTAAATATAAGGAAACAGTTTTCTTAGAATTACTTGGAGTTAAAGACTTTTAAAATAGAACATATTTGTTAAAAACTTACTGTGAAAACATATATTTTACTTTGATAAACTCACTCGCTCAATTAGTGAGTTTAATTAGGGGTTTCCCTGGTGGTTCAGTTGGTAAAGAATCTGCCTACAATGCGGGAGACCAGGGTTCAATCCCTGGGTTGGGAAGATTCCCTGGAGAAGGGAAAGGCTGCCCATTCCGGTATTCTGGCCTGGAGAATTTCAAGGACTGTATAGTCTCAAGAGTCAGACACGACTGGGCGACTGTCACTTCACGTCACTCAATTAACATGAATCGTTAAAACTACAGTATACCTGTATCAACAATTTCATTCATTCCAGTGGCATATGGCAAAATAAGTGGATGTTTAATAATATTTAGGTAATTATACCTAAGTCATTTTTGTCAAATTTCTAAGAGAAAAAGTCATCAACATATAAAAAACATTTTAGGTCAAAATTAATTCACTCAACCACTCAATCAAACCAAAAAGGGCTGCTCAAGTCTTATATAAACAGCCTCCAAACTGGAAAAAGCAATACTGTGTAACAGATCTACACCTACATAAACACGCCCCTGGTGGATGAGCCGTTTTGCCTGGTTGCTCCCCCACTCCACACCCCGGGGCACCAGGACTTGGGACTCCTCAGCCTCAAGCATGCACACAGAGCGAGAACGCAGCTCTCCTTTACACACCCACAGTGATCTCCTGAATAAGAAGGACCCCTCGAAAAAGGCACGTGATCAAAAACTACCTAATTCCCAAAAAGCCAAGGACAGGGATATGGCCCTCAAGTAAAAAGAGGATTATAAAATGTCGTAAGTTTTTGTAATATCCATTTTGAAAATCTATATATTACCCCCAAAATTAATGGAACTTCAGTTTTATTAATACTCATTCTAAGCCTCCATGAATCTGTTGTTTTAAGAAACACACAACAGTTCTTTCAAACACAAATATTTAAGACTCAAATTTATACATCTACACACAGCCCAAAATGAAAGTGACACAAGTGAGATACTAGTTCCCTTTCCTCAAATATGGATCAAAGCACACAGATCCATTAAGTGAAAAGTGTCAAGCTCCTGCAGAGAAGGAAGAAAAACCTCCCCACTAGGGACACGAGGCAAAGAGCTAATAGTTTCCTATGCCAATACGCCCAAATTTACATCTCCAAGTCAGTCTTCAAAATAAGTTGCAAAATTTTATAGAAATCACCCCCCCCAAAAAAAATTTTTTTTAAATAAAACTACTTTCTTGCTAGGAGAGAACAGGGTTAAATAAATGAAATGATTATCTTTTTGGTTTCCCTGTCACACTGATATTTATTAGGGAAATAAGTAAGTTCCTATTACATCAGAATTCATTTTTTTCAGATACACCCAGCTCCAAATTATAAAGTAATAAAGTCCATTCATACAGAACTGAAAATTCAACCACCCTGTTACATCTGTTTTCTTTAAAATGTGTCTATGTCTAATAAAACTACCAAATAAGTTGTATATTAAGAGACTTCCTCTACACTGTCTTACATTTTTTAAAATCAGTTCTCAAGCCAGAATTAATATATTTTTATGCCAAAATGAAGATGTTATTCTTATAATTTTAATGAAAGAAAATGGTAGTTAGAGGGTAGTTCATTAGTAGAAGTGTCCAGGTGTGATTTGGAGTATTTCCATGTCCACAACACAATTCAGATGCTTCTGATACAACATGACATGGGAAAAATGGAACGAGTATAAAAAGCTTTGCCAAAAATTCATTCCTAAATATAGATAAAAAAATAAAACCAAAGAAAAATGAGGGATTAGAGTTTCTTATTACAGATGCAAGGTAAGAATATGTTGTTCCCTGGAATATACCTATTGATTTTGTGTTAATATAAACATAAATTTAAGTGACAGCTGTCTTACAGAGTAGTTGCCTTAAAAAAAAAAAAAAAAAAACTGCCAAAAGTAGGTACACAGAAATCAGGATCCCCAATGAAAACAATTTAAGCCATGCACAATTTCATTTCAGATAACCCAGAAAAACAGAAAACAGTTGACATTTTTCATTGTATTTTGTTTTTTAAATGAACCACAGTTGCCAATTCCACCTCCTCTTAATAATGGGGCAGCTGGCCAGTCATAGCTCAGCAAATATATCAATTTAGTCCACAAATATTTCTTTACAAAATTTAACACATTATATAGGATAACACTGCACTGAGCGGGGAAAGGGGGAGAGTGTTATAATGTATCTTATACAAATTTTAAGGTAATCAGGAACCAGCCCTGTAAGTCTGGTTACTTACAAACCTTACTGCTTTGAAATCAGCTTATCAGTTTTCTTTTAATGGTAAATAAGACTTTTTAAAAATTATGTTGTATTATATTCTATAAAATTAAAGTTAAAATAGCATTAATGAAATTCAGCACAAAAATGGACATCACAAAATCTTAGTTATGTGAGCAGACCTCAGTATTCCTTTTGAGATTGCTTTATCTGAATACTTTATCTCACAAAAACCCACTAAGTACATTGTAAAATGCCTTATTTCACTTTTTAAAAAGACCCTCCCCCGTTACAATGTACACACATTTTGTTCTCAATTACAAAAACATTTGCCACCCAATGTAAACCATTCCTAAAATCAAAAATGAAACTAAACGTGTTACAAGCCATGAGAAAATTTAATAGTATTTCCTGACCTATAGTTACATAGTAATCTAATGTTTTGGACAAACAATTGGTCCTAAGTATAACTATCATAACAAAAACTAAAGAATAGCAGCCTTCCAAAAGAAAAAATACCAAAAAAAGACACATTCCACATGTTATACGGTAAAGTACCTGAAAGAAATCAGTGAATCTAGGTCATATGCCCGGCATTTTTCTTCCCCCCTTAAAAACAAAAAAGCTATTCCTAAGGGTCATACTGAGGACATAAAGGATTCACTCTCATTCCAAGAAAACAAAATACTTAAAATGATTAGTACCACTATGAAAAAATACCGTAAAGTAACACCGACCTACATCTGCCTCTATCATCCTTGTTTCTGGTTTACAGAGATGTGAATTCTAAACTGTCCCTTTAAAAGGAAGCTGACAAAGCAAATCTTTTCAAAATTAATCACACGGGTTTATTTACACAAAGTTTTCCTATGTTTTTACCTATCCGAATCAAAAAAATCAGAATCCCAAGTTTTCTATGAAGAATAGGAAAATGTATTCTCATTAACAGTAAAACTCTACTAACTGAAGATTAGAAAGGAGTGGACTCCCAATGTCCTCAGCCTGGGATTCACATGATTATCTGTTAAATTCAGTACTGCATACATTCTGACAAGTCTCTCATCGAAAATATGGTTATTATTAAAATACACCTTCCTAAAGTAAATGAGCTAAGTAAAAACAGATATTACAACCACCATTATTCCTTTTTAACATACTTTAATGTTAAAAAAGTTTAAAAAATTCTAATGTCCATGAAAGAAAAACTATTTGGAAGAAACCCAGCACAATTTGCATGTAATATGGTTTCCCTAAAACATTGTGTAAGCAGTTCACACAAGGCTCACAAAACCTAATCTAGCAAAATAATCAAGGGGGGTAAAAGATTCCTGATGCATTTGCTTCCAAATCAGAAGCAAATATAAAATAATTTTTAAAATTTCACAAGGTCCACTTTTTCCCTTTTAACTAATTGTTGTCTGCAAAAATTATTATAGTTTCCTCACTTCATGTTTTCTTAAACATCACATCCATTCTAACTGAAACTCCTCATCCACTAACATCTAAAAACGATCAGAATTGTTAAAGCACAACTGACCAGAAATACAGTTTTAATCTTGTTATAAAGCTAATTAAATATTACTAAAATATACCGCTGGCTATCAGAATCGTGACATTTTTAATGTTACAAGTTTTAATTTTACATTAAACTATATGTGATGACATAATTCCAAATTTTTTCATGGTTTAATCCATAAAGGGTAATTTTATAAAAGCTTTCCAAATCCAGAAATTGGTAAAATTCTTGATTTAATTCTTTTTCAACTGCCATATCCTCACCCTACAATTACAGTGAATGAGATATGCAATGGCCATGCTGAGACTGTCAAACAGCTGAATTTTCTAAGTGCCCAATACTGGACACCAGTGTGATGTTTTTAGGTATCTAATCCTCTTATTAGTAACTGTGATTCATAATAATTTAAGCTTTAAATAATATTCCACCTTACATCTGCATGTAATAGAGCTCAGTTATTATTTGTGGCAAGAATTTTTGTGACTGTACTGCTCAGCACTTCTATTTACATCAGCAGTGCTAAATGCCCAATGGTGAGAGGGGAGCCAATCAGATGGCAGATTAGATGTCAACTCAGAGGCAGCTGTCTGGAGACTATTACAGCCAGTTTACCTCCACAATTCAAATTCCAAACCTTGCAAAGGAGATCAAGTCAGTCTTTAGGCTCAGCCTCCGAGCGAGAAACAGCAAGAGTGCAGGACTCTTCTTAATAACGCTGCAGGACTTGGGGGGCCGTGGGGGGGACAGGAAATTAAAAACCCAAATAAATCTGATCCAAAAAGATCCATTTTCACTGGTGAGCTCCCTCCCTGGGTTCGCTGACTAAAAATGTACGCCTAACCCACGATCCAAATAAGTTCAGTTTAACCGGAATGTGTTCCTTTAACGCAGCCTATCCGTTGAAGGTGACTCCTTTCAAGCAGCCAGCAAGCCAAATAATGGATTTCCCCGGCTTATTCTTGGGAATGAATCGATATATTTCAGGGTCGTTTTCCTCCCCATCGGTGTAAAACGTGGGTACTCTTTTTGGCAACTAAACGCTCAAAACTCGAAGCCCGAGTCGAATATCGCCGAATGCCTGGGCACAACTACGAAACACACGCTCGGCTGCCACAAAGCTAACCTCTTTTTTTTTTTTCCCCTCCTGCCTTCACCTTGTGAGCTTTAAGAGGGAAAAACGCGGTGTGGCCTGAGGTAGGACAAAGTTCCTCATTCTTTCCTCAGTTCGAGCTCATGGTGGGCGCTACCCGAGAAGCGGGGGGCAGTTATTCCTCCTCAGACCCTACCGGCCCGGAGCGCCTATTTCTGTGGTAAAAAATGAATAAATTAATAAAATAAAGCTGCCCGAACGGTCCCCGGCGCCCACACGGCTTCCCGGTGGCGCGGTCCCGGCCGCGCGGCTCGGCGCCCGGGGCGGGGGTGTCGAGGCGGGCGCTCGGCGACCGGCCACCGCGGCGCCCGTCCCGGGCCTCGGCGAGGGACCCCCTTTCCGCCCCCCGGGGCCCCGGGCCGCGCACTCCGACCCTGCGCGCCGCCGGGCCTCGGAGCGAGGCAGCCGCGAGTTAAAATGGCTTTGGGCGCCTCGCCCCCCCCACCTCCCCACCTCCGCCTCACACACACACACCACCACCACCCCCCCACCAGGGCCGAAGACGCAGAAAAAGTAACGCGGAAAGAAAAGAAACTACNCCTCCGCCTCCGCCTCCGCCTCCTCCGCCGCCGCCGCCGCCGCCGCCCGCGCCGGGCCGGCTGTAGCCCGGATAATGGTTGTACTGGCTGTTGGGGTACCCTTCGTGGGAGTTCTGCAGGGGGTCCATGCTGTTGGGGGCTCCGGCGGCAGCTGAGGCGGAGTGCATCAGCCCCATCCCGGGGCTTTGTTGTCCGCCATGTTGATCAAAGCAAGGCCCAGCGCGGCCGCCGGGGCCGCCGCTAGCTGGGGCAGCGCTGCCATAGTAATTATTAAACTCCGAGACGGCCGCCGGGCCGCCGCCGCCTCCGCCGCCCCCGGGCACGGCGACCGGCGGCGGCGGCTGCTGCTGCTGCTGCGCGCCCAGGCCCGGCTGCTCGAACCGGCCGCCCGCCGGCTCCCCCATCTTGGGCGGCGCGTCGTCCTCGTCGCCCGGCTTGCTCAGCAGCGGCTGGCCCGGGGGTTCGGCCTGGCTGCCCGCGGCAGCACCGTCCTTGGCACCTCCATGTTGCGGCTGCTCCATGTCGGCACCGGGCTGAGGCGTGCCGCCGCCCGCGCCGCCGAGGCTGCTGTTGTTGGAAATGGGATGTTGGTGCTGCTGCCGCTGTGGTTGCTGCTGCTGCTGCTGGAACTGACTTAGCTGCTGCTGTAGTGCGTGGTGGTGGAGGTGGTGGGCATGGTGGTGGAGGTGCTGGAGGTGGTGGGCACGGTGGTGGTGGTGGTGGAGGTGCTGCTGCTGGTGGGGCGCTGCGGCGGCGGCTTCGCCAACGGTGTTCAGTTTGTGGTTGGGGAGCAGCCCCGTCTCCATGGCCGAGCCCGGGCCCGACGAGGAGGAAGAGGAGGACGCCGCCGCCGCCGCGGCGGAGGAGGAGGAGGAGGAGGACAGCGCGGCGGCGCTTCCACCCTCCGCCTCGGAGCCGCCGCTCTTGGCGCTGTTAGTGCTGGCGGCGGCCGCGGCCGCCGCGCTCGCGTTATGGGCCATGTTCAGATCGTGACGGGGTTGCAGGGGGTGGTGGTGCACATTATTCNCTCGTGCCTCCGTCGCCTTGCCAACCGGGCGTTCGCGTGTTTGTTTTCACGTCTAAAAGGCACGATACAAAGGTGGAAAACGAGTCTGACGAGCACCGGCGGCCCCGGGCCGGGGAGCTCGGGTCTGGTCGCGCCGCTGGCGTCCGAAGCGCGGCGGGCGTGGGGCGACCGGAGGCTGCACTTTCCCCTCGTGCCTCCGTCGCCTTGCCAACCGGGCGTTCGCGTGTTTGTTTTCACGTCTAAAAGGCACGATACAAAGGTGGAAAACGAGTCTGACGAGCAGACAAAAGAGGGAGAGAAGGGCTGGGGAACAAAGTTGTCTGTCGGCCTCAAAGGTTACGAGGAGCCGACGGAGAAAGAAAATATTTGGGCTATCTGTGCAAAAGCACTGCCTCTCCCAAGAGTTATGTAATTTTTCAGCATGTTAGCCTCTCTCCCTTGATTTTGGCCCATCAGTATGATTCCCACAACTTCTTCAAACTGCAAAATTAGGAAAGAGTTTTAACTGAAGGTTCCGGGAGGTCTGTGCCCTGTACACAACAGGTACTCAATACATGCCTATTACTGACTGCACCTGCCCCAAAGAAATGCCAGTATAACTTTTTTTTTTTTTTTAAGGCAGTGTGTGTGGGCCTGGGCGCTTAGTCCCTCAGTTCTGTCTGAGACTCTCTGACTCCATGAACAATAACCCACCAGGCTCCTCTGTCCATGGGATTCTCCAGGCAGGAACACTGGAATGGATAGCCACTCCCTTCTCCAGGGGATCTTCCCGACTCGGGGATCGAACTGGGGGTCTGCTGCGTTGCTGGCGGGTTCTTTACCATCTGAGCTACCAGGGAGGCCCACATAGGCTTTATTAATGAAAACACAAAAGTATCCCCAAAGGAGCATTTTCCTCACAATGCACTTGCCTGTCTTCTCTCTGAAGGGAAAGCCTTCAAATATGTAGAGTGGTGTGTTATGCTCCCAACAACTTGCACGTGGAAATTTAACTATTGGTGCCATAATAGCAAGAGCTAAGGTTTATCTCATGTCTTCATAAATCTGTATGACGCCTTTCATCCTATTTTAGAGGTTATGTGCACAGTTAACCCTCTTGATATGAGTTCATTTCTAAGTAATGTGAAACAAAACTAAAAGAAATGCATGTTATATTTCATAAACATAAGATCAGTGATGATGTAAATCCGTCAAATCTAATCCTACAGCAAAAACGTTTCACACTTTTTCTTCAAATACTATCCATTGTTTTATCACTTTTTGATGTTTTAAATGTTTTTATTATTGTGAATCTGTCACCTAGTAACATCTTGAATATCTTCCAAAGCAGGACTTCTTAACCTAAACAATAGCTCAGTTGTACTAGTGTGGACTCAGTTTTCACGGAAAGCGTCTGAAACCAGAGCTTTCAAGAAGTCCTGCTAGCTGAAATGATATATATGATTTTGGTAGAATGTAGCTTTCTAAAATCATCTAATTCTTCAGCTTTCCATAAAGGCTGTTTTAGTTTATTTCAACTGCAGTGGTTATTTTTGTTTGCTTGACCAAATGTAAATATGTTACTGGACTAAACAGAAAAGGATAGATGTGAAATACTGGTGACTGATGGTGGAGGAGGAGAATCAGGTGCACACCCAAGGTGCATACAACAAATTGCAAGTCTATGCAAACAGCTGGAAAACAGGAGTTATATCATCACGTGTAAGTGAATAAGAAATTTAAGGTGAATCCATGCCAAATCATTCATCAGTTTTTGCCAAGAGAATGCTACATCTTTGTTAGTGTGCCTCTTTGATATTTTCTCCTGGATTTTCTCCCTTTATATAGTCAAATACATACTAATTACATGATGATACCACATGAATTTTTCAAGTTTTCACATGCAAATACAAATATATGTTTTGCATATGTGTTTATACATATATTCTAAACTCAATTACATATTTATGCTTTTAGACATTTATAGTCCAACTGAATGTACACATATAGCCATAAAAATACATTTTTTCCAACTGATAAAATATATTAACATCAGTTCATACAAGTGCAGCCATATTTTGTGGCTTATTTTCACAACTAATCCTAAAAAGGGAAAATGAGTCACCAAGTTCACCTCTGGCCCTTTTCTTAACACTTTTTTTTTCTATATAGAAAAATCATGAAACTTGAAAAAAAAACTAGGTATATAGGTCGAAATCTCTTTTAATTCCTCTTGCTTCAGCAAGTCAACTAGAAGATTGGAACCAAGAGGCTATGAAATCGAGGCCCCCAGCACAATGAAGTCAGTCTGCTATAAAAGGCGACACATGCCAGCTTCTCCTCCCCAGTGGCAGATGCCACACCCTGAAACAGACAGAAGGCAGTGCAGTCTGTAACAGAAGCACAACACAAAGCCGGCAGGACTTGGTTTTGTCTCTTGAACCACAGAGCATGCTAAAATACCTTTTCAAAAGCCTCTTTCTGAAGGTAGTCGTGGGCTCCTCTTTATTCAACTTAGGCTTCTCAAACACACCTTCTTGAGAAAACAAAAGAAAAGCCTCTTAACAGTTTCATTTAAAAAATCCAGGACTTAACAAAATCGCAGTTGTCGGGTCTGTTAGAAAGTCATGAAGTAGGTTCACATTTCTCAAAAGCCAAGTCATGAAATAGTTTCATATTTCCCAAAAGCATGATTCGAACTGTAGATTATAGTTGCTGTTGTGTCAGTTGCCTCAATTATCCTATATGGAGATTCTACAGTAGCTTTCAAATGGAAAATAAAGTACTCGAAATGACTGCATTCATTTCTTCTAATGAATTCTTTATTTTGACACCTCTTGCCTAAATTTCAAACCATAATGACAACTTTAATAAGTCACTAGCCACAAAGGAGCCGAGGAGGTGAAAGCCCAAAAGCTGCAGAGTGGGCTCACCCTGCCTGCAGCCTCCCTGCCACCCACCGAACGCCCCACACCCTCACGGTTAGCCAGAGGATTACCCAGTACTTTGTTAAACATTACTTTCTGGTTACAAAAACGCGGTTGAGTTTGGTGGGTTTCTTTAACGTTGTGAAAAATTGATATTCAAATACGATCCCTTTGAATAAGTTTTAGGGCACTGAATCAAAGGCTCTTCAAACCTGCCCACTTAAAGAGGATTGAGCCAGATGGTAGTTTAAGAATGCCACAGTTCTGTTCTCTTTGCCTCTTCATAGTCCATCACACTGTTTGCTTTAAGATTAGTCGCCTTTTACTGTTCTGGTTATTTATTCAATAACTAAACTATCATGATTCACTACCCATCATATTTCTCAATGTTCTTTACATAATTTGGAACCAATTTAGACTAAAGCCCTGTCAAAAGTTTTAAAATAACTATTAAAGACTAAGGCTTTGGATACTTGCTTTCCTTTTAGATTTATGAGAAATGCTATGAATGGAGCTAATGGGATTTCCCTACTTATCTTGATCAGGGACTTTAAAAAGCACTAAACAATTGTCCTTTTCACGTCTCTGATTTAGATGTTAGCAGTGAATAACTGAGTAAATGCAAGATACGGGATACAGCATTTGACTTGAAACAACTATGCAAATGTAAAAGTGGCCCATAAGTTTAGAATGCAAAACAACTAGGATCTGAAAACAAACATCTAGGCAAGAAATAATTTAAATAAATGTGGGGACTCTTGGCTAACAAGAGCACTACTATATTTACTAAGACTATTATAGTGGGGATAATAAACTGGATGGGGAGAGGGATAAACTACACCTTTTTCTTTCAACAAACTTGTCTAGAATCTAGCTTGTGACATTCCCTGAGAATAAAAATACTACCTTCGTTCTGTCCTAAACAGGGGAGATAAACTGTTAACCTAAAACATACTTATTGTTCAGTTGCTAAGTCATGTGCCTCTCTGCGACCACCTCATGGACTGAAGCATGCCAGGCTCCTCTGTCCACTTTCTGAGTTTGGTCAAATTCATGTCCATTGAATCTCCCAGGTGGTGCAGTGGTAAAGAATCCACCTGCCAGTCCAGGAGACATGGGTTCCATCCCTGGGTCAGGAAGATCCTCTGGAGAAGAAAATGGCAACCCACTCCAGTACTCTTGCCTGGAAAACTCCGTGGACAGAGGAACCTAGCTAGGTACAGTCCCTAGGGTCGCAGAGTCGAACACAACTGAGCATACAAACACACGCATTAGACATACTTAGGGCTGCCGTGAATCGTCATGGAGGATCCGGCCAGAAAAGAAGCAGTTCAGACTTTCCCACCTCACAGCATTCCCTGCAGCTCTGCCTTGTTGGCTGCCATCGGCAGGGCACTGCGCCCTAATCATCAGTCTAGTTTGAAGTGTTGCCGGAACCCACCAATGCTAAAGCTAGACTTCAAGAATCCTAAGTCAGGTTCACCAGAGAGTGAGTGAGTGTGTTGAGTGTGAGTGTGTGTGTGTGTTAGTCCACTCAGTCGTGTCCAACTCTCTGTGACCCCATAGACTGCAGCCCGCCAGGCTCCTCTGACCATGGAATTCTCCAGGCAAGAATATTGGAGTGGGTTGCCATTTCCTCCAAGGTTCACCAGTGACTACAATTTCTCTCAAAAGTCCCTGGAAACATAGTAACAGCAACGAAATAAATTACATTTATTTCTGTAATATATTTTGGAATGCTGTACTATGTACCTTATACTAGACTGTCCACATTTTGTGTAATAATTTTTTTTATTACAGCCTAGTTTAGAAATGTTCTTAGTTTTTAGACAAATGTGTGTTCAATGGCATTTCTTCAGTTTATTCCCAGGATTGTCCTCGTTTTGCCATCATCAGAATCATTTATTGAGCATCTACTAGTGCATTTTAATATTCTCTCCAATGATTACATCATGTCATATACCCATCCGTGTGGCTTCTGTCACTGATAACCTACTGCTTAGATAAAAGCACTTTATTGGTAACATTACTCTAGTTCCCCATTAAG